CAGCATCAGTAAGGATAACGATTATGGTCCCAAGCTGAGGAAGCAGAGAGAGAAGCCTGTTCTCATTTCCAGTTTCTCCTTGGGACTTGCGGTAAGACCTTGAGCTTAAACCAGGTCACTGCTCTGCCTCCACGCTTAGGATGATGGGCTTGACTTTGTGTTATCAGCCCTGAGACTTTGGTGGGACTGTGGTGACCATCAGCAGAAGGCTCCTCTCCTGACTGCCTTTTTGCCTCAAAATTGTTCTTCCAGATTCCAGCTTTTACAGTTAGACCTTGGGAATTGCCTGGCCCCGCCCCTTACTTCATGACCAGGGATACTTAGGCCCAGAGACAGCAATTAATTATTGTAAAGCACACAGCGAGCCCCTTGGTTGCTACTCCACCACTTGTGAGATTTCGAAAGTTCTAATCTAAACCAAAATGAGTTCAGTTATTAAACCCAAGGCCTGGGAAAATGAAGCATTGGTCAGGCCCCTTGTTTTCCTTGGCAGCATAGTCTTGGGAAAGTCATGCCTGATCTCCCCCCCGCAACTGTGAAAGGGGGAGTGGCACCTTCTCTGGTTCTCTTCCTTCTACTTTTCTGCCAAAGATTTGATTTCAAGATCCAATGGCAGGTCTTGGTCTGTTGATTGTGCATCCAAAACGGGGTGCCTACTGCGGATGATAGATCAGAGACTTAATAAATACTATGACATAAAGAAAGATGTCTTTAAACCCTTTCTTTCCTCAGGGAAAGGGTTGTGGTAACAATATTGCAGTTGGACATGAAAGATGTTTTGGCAGATCTCAAACTTATCGTGAACATGAATCACTCAGACATTTTGTGAAAATTCAGATTCTGGTTCACTAGGTCTGGGGTGGGGCCTGAGGCTCTGCATTTCTAATGAGATCTCAGGTAATGCAGAAGTTGCTGGTCCAGGGACCACACTTTGCATAGTAAGATTCTAAATCCCTTGTTCAGGGCCCAGACCAGAGCCTAGATCTCTTAATGTCTTGTGGTAGAGGTTCTTTCTACACATCGAATTTGCCTCTCGCTTTTGTTCTCTATGTGGAGTCAAACTGTTTAGTCCACAGCTGAGTTTCTAGAATTTGAACAGCCCTTGAAATATTTTGCTGCCTAATTGCAGAGCAAGGTAGAGCCCTTCTTTAGGAGAGAGCGACTCAGCAGGAAGCTATCTGAAGCAGGAGAAACATAGCTGAAGGACCTAGCATTCATCTTAACTATTTCCACCAGAAGTTTTTATACTTAAGATTATAGACATTCTTCTCTCAAGTCTGTAGGCTGCAAACTACAGTTCTGGGGAGGCCTAGGCCTGTGATTGTATGCCTTTGAGCTAAGAATGGTTTTTACATTGTTTTAAAAGGTTGTTAAAAAAAAACAAAAAAAAAAACCCAAACCTAAAACCAAACAAGAAAGAATATGCAGCAGACAAGGTATGGGGCCTGCAAAGCCTAACATATTTACTAACTGGCCCTTTACAGTAAAATTTGCTAACCCCTGATCTAGAGTAACCAAAGCTTTGTGTTTTTCTCTATGCAAGAGACCTAGCCTTAATGCCTGAAACTTAGCGAGACCAAGAAGTCAGCGAGGCAGCCTGCCTTGGTGGGAACTGTGTAGACATCTTAGTTGTGTGACTGAGCACATTACTTCACCTCTCTGAGCTTATATCTTCCTTCACAAAACAGGAACCATGATATCTGCCTGGCAGAGTATCATGAGGATGAGACATGATGTATGTCAAGAGTTTAATACTTGGTAGGTGTTCAGAAAAGCAGGGTTGTCATTTGGGGTGGCTATTTGAACCCTTCAGGGATTGCGAGGCAGAGATCATGTTTCTCCGACCAAATCTGAAAGTCCTCCCATTATGCTGGGAACAGTCTTTTAGGAGAAAAACACCTCCGGCTTGGGGCCTCCCCCCACCCCACCCCAAAGGGCAGAAAGCTCCTCTTCAGCCACCTAGACATATGGGGTTCCTGGTGACTTGCACAGTGTCACTAACAGAGAGCTCTCTACCCAAAGGCCTGCCCCTCCACTGGTGGGCAGCACTAACAGACTGTGCCTTCTCCCCGTCTCTAAGATATAATTCAGTAAACAGGCGCTCCGCAGGCCCCAGACAGGGATGGTGAGTGCTGGAAGGAAACATCTCTCTTTATGACTCCCTCTGGAGCATGTGGGCGGTGGACTAGAGTGAGTGGTTTGTGGATCTTGTTTTTAAGTTGTTGCAGCCTTAAGGTCCAGAATGGGGAACAGACCAACTCCGTGTTAGCTGGAGTTAATGCTTTGCGTCTCTGGGGCTCCTCCCATCCAGAGCCTGGGGAAGAGTGTAATGCTCTTTTTGCCCATAGGTGGCAGCACCTGCGCTCTTAGCTGTCTGTAAATGTACACGTGCATGAGTATATATTTACTCATATACATATATGCATGTGTCTATGCATGTGTGCATGCGTGTGATTTCCTAGCTTCTTCCTTTGGTGAATCTTGAGCTGTGGTGGCCCCAGCCCTAGGCTAGGCTCTGGGATCCATGGGAACAGATCTTAGTCTAATGAGGGAGGCTAACCGGGAAACGGACCATAATCCAGGATAACAGGGAAGACTAGAGGCCTGGGGGAGCCCAGAGGAGCTCACCCTCACGGGGGAGGAGAGGTTAAAGCAAACTTCCTGGAGGAAACTGGGCTTGATCATGAGTGGAAGGAGAAATGAAGAATAGGGATGGAAGACAGTTCTGGAACAGAGGAGATTCTGTGAAGATTACATGTGGACTCAGAGGGCAGAGAGTGCAGCTTCGCCCCAGCTGGAGCTTGGAGGGGTGTGGGTGGAAGACAGGAACTGAAGAGGCTGAAGCTCATGGGGCAGGCAGCAGCAGATCATGAAGGATACTGAAAAGTTCACTGAGGTTCTTGGACTTTATCTCTGGGGCTCTAGGGGAACCATGGTGGAGTCTGAGCAGAGGAGTGACATGGTTTGGGCTTGCACTGTAGGGGAGAGAGGAGGTGGGGGGACCACTGCAGTCACCCAGATGACAGGTGATGGTACCTGAACCTGGATGTTGACAGTGAGGGTGGAGACAAGAAGATGCATTTGAGCAGAACCAGCAGGGCAGGGCAGGGCATGGCAGGGGGAGGTGGTGTTGGAGGCCTGAGTGATAGAGCAGGGGAGGTTGAGGAGGGTGGTGCCCTGGTGTCTGGTCTGGCCCAGGCTGTGGATGGTGGCTGGTGGTGCTGTTGCTGAGATGGGGAACATCAGGGGAGGAACAGATTACATTTGGGAAGAAATGTAGCACCACCAGTGAGGATGAAGGGATGATTTGGAGGTGTGTAGAGGAAAAGCGGGCTGGATTTCAAAGGCTTGTCCTCAAACAGAGTTAACAGAAAGTGAGAGGTCATTAGTCACTTGTAGGAACACAATACAACCCAAGTCTGCTTTGATCTATCCTTGGAACCAGGAAGTTCCAGGTGGAACTCTCTGAGGAAGGCCCACAGAGCTGGGATGGACATCAGTGCCAGATAAGCAGTCAGCCTCTTTTTCAGATCCCCTGCTTTGCTATGTATGCCACTCACAATGCAGAAATACACCGGGAAGGCCTAGGCCATTGACTGTCAGCTGAGAACAGGGCTCACTGGTGTCTTAATCCCTGCAGCCTGTAGGGCCCCACTGTATTTAGGATCTTGGACTCTCTCCTTGGCTTGGAGAAGCTGGTTTGGGCAGAGAAATTTTCCAATGTAGGCAGGAACCAGCTTGCTTAGCTGCCCCCTGAATGTGGATGACTAGAGCTCTGGGGAATGAGGAAGGGTGAAGATCCAGTTTGGCCCTGAAAGGCAGGGGGCCAAAGGGCTGGGATGCACAATTCACTGTGGGGCCAATGTTGGCTGGTCCTTCTTTCACTTCTCTAGCATATAAATCCACTGGTCCTGCTGTTTGCCAGCTCATGGGCCTGGACCAGAATTTCAGAGGCAAAGCAGACTGGCAGGACTCACAGCCTGATGGGAGAGAAAGACCTGTTGCCGGATAACAATAATAGGGTCTTACAACGGTAGAGCAAGGCTTAGGCATAGAAGTGGAGATACAGCATGTAAACAGCTTGGGTCCCCAAACTGCACAAGTACAGAATGAGAAAAACATAATTTCTAGAAAAAGGTTTAGAGATTTAATTAACAGTCAGAGTAAACATATATGCTGTTCAAAACCCTTGACATATCTTATCTCATTTAATCCTTATAATAGCCTATGGAATAAGTTCTAACATAATCCTTTTACAGAGAAGGAATCTGAGACTCAGGGTAAAGTAACCTGATCAAGTTATGCAGTTAGTTAAATGAAGGGTCATTTCGTCTAACTCCAGAATACTGAACCATAGCTCTGAAGTTGACCATAAGCTGAATTCAGACATGCCCTGGGGTTGCCTTACATGCAAATGGGATTTTAGGTTGGATTAATAGAGGCATGATATATAGAATGATGGAGGTGAGAGTTCTGCTTGTCCTGCCCTGGATAGAGCTCGCCTGAATGTCAAATTTTGGGTCTTGTGCCGTCAGTAGGGACAAGGTTCATTTAGAGCTGATCAGGGAAGGGGGTGAGGGAGGGAACCAGACACCTGGTCTGGTCTCAGGAAAAGCTGGAGGAAAGAGGGTATACAACTTGTAGAAGACTTGAGGGGCCCAAGATCACTGTCTTTGTCTCTAAGGAGCCATCGGGAAACAGGGTGACAGACCTATTCTGGGTGATCTGAGCAGATAGAGCAAGAACCAGCAGGTGTAAAGCATAGGGAGAGAGATTTTAGCCCATCCTGAGGACAGTTCTTTCAACCAGCTAAACTCTTCAACAGAAGATCTTACAGCCTTGGCAGGAAGTGAGTGCCCCATTGCTTCAAGTGTGCAAGTAGAGGCCATGTGACTGTGGTGGTGGGTGCTGGGGATGAATGGAATGGAAGTATCAAATGGGGATTTTGACCAGATGATCTTGAGTGCCTGATGTTGAGATTCTTGGCCCTTTATTTACAGGTGGTGCTGATAACCCCCTTGTACCGTGCCTCTGCCGTGGTCCCAGCACCTCTTCACGGAGCAGTCCTCTTTCCCCCTCACAGCCCTGCAAGGTAGGTGGAGCAGAGCAGACACCCCTGCATCCTCCTAAACCCAGCTCTGGCTGCCCAGGGGAGTCTGGAAGGGACAGTGGAAACAGCTTCTGGTCACTACCGTGGATTCAAAGGGAGTCCCTGAGGTTTCTCTAGTAAAGCCCAGAGTGTGTTTCTGCCCATTGCCTCATTTGTTCCTCGCTCTCCCTTGTGAGGGAGGCCGGGCAAGGGTGATCCTGTGGGGCAGACACAAGGGCTGGGCTGGGTGCCAGGGTGCCTGGGCCCCTATCCTCGCTGTGCTATGTTCTCACTGTGTGGCTGAAGGAAAGTTGCTTTCCTTCTCAAGGCCTCTGTTAGCGCTTCTGTAAGAGGGTGGATTCCCTGGAGGTCCAGGAATTCTTCCCGGAGGCTTTGGAGAGGTGAGAAAAAGCTGGGCCCTGGCTGCCAAGTCTCCAGGCTTGTTGACCATAGGAAGAGTACCCAAGCTGTGTGAGTCACAGGGCAGGCGAATGAGTCATACCCACCTGGGACAACAGGCAGGATGGGGCCAACATGACTATCTGATTCACAGGTGACCTCCTGTAGGAGGCTGACACGCAGTGGGTGGGCATGCAGCGCTCTGGGCTGGAAGCAAGGGACCCACTTCATGACCCAGCTTAGGCCTCAGTTTCTCCGCCTATAAAATGGGTGTATTGGTCTCCCACCCACCCACCTGAAAAGGTTGTCGTGAGGACCGTACGAGCTTGTAGATGCTCAAGAGCTTTGTGAGCTGCAAAGTGGGAAGGATCCCTACCAGGGGAAAAACCTGGCCTCCAGTGCCAGAACAGAAGTGAATTTCTAATAGCAACTGTGCGGAGAGCCTGGAAAGCACCCCTCCAGCTCATGACATCACCCTTGGGGGCCAAAAGGAGAAAGGGCCGAATGACTCCAGGGTTTACTCATCTGCTGTGGCCCAGCTAGCTTTCGGGTGGTGACACTCCTTGGAGCTGTTCCTCTTCCCAGAGCTTAGATGCAGGGGCCTTCTGATGGTCTCCGGAATGTTTTGTCTACAAACCCAGGGATTCCTAGAAGGCTGGCTAGGCATAGAGATGTGACTTGGCCCACTTCAGCTGCGCCCTAAGGGTTCTGTAGCCAAAGGGCCAGCCCTGATGCTGCCCAGAAGGGAGGGAGCTGGGGCCAGTCTTTGTTCTGATACTCCTGCTTCGGGGCCTGAGCCCTGACAGTTCCCAGAGCTGAATTGCCTCAAAGTGATCTGTCACCAAAGAGTGTTACACTCTGCCAATGCTTTTGACAGCAAGGACACAGGGACCTGTCTTCTGTCTTCCCCACTTCTGCAGACCCTGCCGGGCCAGGCTGGCTCAAGCCCAGCTGAGTACCTGTTAATATGAGCTTTGCTACCCCACCCCCTTCAAGTGCTGCCCCCCTGCAGTGCGCCCCGCCTCAAGCCCGCCTCTGCTGAACTGGGGTTCAACCAGGGGGTGCCAGGGACCTCCTGCTTGTCAAAATCCGGTGGCACTTCCTCAGGTCTCCACGTCCACCTGCTGCAGCACTGGATCCCTTTCCTTCTGGAAGCGCTCCCCTTGTTGCTCCTGGGACGCTGCCCCCCCTCAGTTGATCTGCCACTTCTCTGATCTTCCTAGGACCCTGTCTTCCTGCCTCCAACGTTCACTAGGATTCTCACCACCTTCTGGTCTTGAATTACACATATAGGTTCATTTGCTCCTCTGCTCATTCATTCAATCATGTGTGCATCACCAGATACCTGGGCCCGGAACCAGTGTTGGAGCATCAGCAAAGAACAAGATATTCCCATCCCTCATGGGCCGTGCAGTGTTGGGGCTTATGGCACTCAGCCATGATACACATGACAGACCATGCTGAGAAGGAGATGACTAGGGTTATAAGAGCACGTGGAGTTGGGTGGGCGTGGCGGCATATTGACCCGACACAGGACTGAGGCCTCCCTGAGAAAGCCCAGACCTGGAGAGGGGACGGCAGGTGGCTGCGTGAGCAGGGAAGGGAGCCCCCAGGCTCAGGAAACAGCACGGACATGTGGTTGCGAGGCAGGATGTTGCATGTGGAGTCGTTGAGTAACAGGAAGAGAGGAACATGACTCTGGGAGGAACTGGAAGAGAGGAGCATGGTCATGACCATGGAAGGCCCTGGAGACCAGGCAGCACCCCAGGCATGCAGGCCCTTGGGGCCTTGGTCAGTTTGGATTTTTATCCTAAACCACTGGGGCACCACAAGTTTTAAAGCAGGAGAGAGACCTGCACAGATTGCCTTATTAGGGGGAGCCCTTGAGAGAGCTAGCGCAGGTCCCACTCTGACTCTGATCCGTCCTGAGGGTGTAATTTTTGGCTCTGCCACAGCGTGGTGTCCTGACGCTATGCCTCAGTAGAGGCTTCCATGCTTGGTATTGGTCAGTCCTGGGAAATGTGCACTTTTCAGCATTCTCTCTGCTCTTTGCATCTTTTCATTTACCTGGCCAACCCTTGCTGAGCTTCTGCACTGCAGAGGGGAGGTGAGTTAGATCCCACCCCACCCTTGGAAATCAAGATTTGTGGGGGCTGAGGCCCAGAGTGCACTGGGATGAGGGCCAGGGTCTCCAGGAGCCAGGGAGGGCTTTTCCTACTCTACGTCAAGCACTGGGCTAAGGGGGCACTGGGACATCCCAGCCAAGGGAGTCACGTGTGCAAAGGCCACCCGGAGCCGCTGTGCTTAGGGACTAGTGAGCAGTGTGGCTAAAGCAGGAATGTGGGGCTGAGGTGGGGAGTGGCCGGAGATGCTGGGTCTCAGTCCTCTGGGTGCCAGGGAACCATGGACAGGCTTTGAGCTGAGGAGTGATTAGCACAATGCAATTTGAGAACAGGTGGGAGGTGGAGAGGAGGGCACATGGGAGGGTCAACTGGTTGGAGAGAATGAGTGTCACTGGGTGAAGCCTGGTCACTCCCACCCACCTGTGTGCGCACGCACACACACACACACACACGCACAGTAAAATACTCTTCCCCTTTCTGTCCCCTGCCCTTATTGGGTTATATCCCCGTTGGTCGGCACTCCTGGGCCACCAATACCATTTCAGTGCAGTACCAAGTGCGGTTACATCCTGGGCACCAGAGGCAATGGTCTGAGCCTGAAACGTCACTCTGGCCCTGACTTGCTAGTCACATCCCTTAATCTCTCAGCCTCAGTTTACTCACCTGTGAAAATGGGGGTGATAGAGGGTTGCTGAGGATCACCAATGGGGAAATAAAGTCCTAAGCATGGGCCTGGTGTGGACAGCTCGATTGTGTTTATTTCCCTGTCAGTTGGTAACAGCCCCGTTGTGTTCTAACCTGCCCCTTGGGGAGCCCTCTGTGGCCTCAACTCTGTAACCATCCCGCCAGCCCCTTTATCATGTGGCTGAGCAATCTGGGGCCCAGAGAGAGACAGTGACTCATCTAAGGTCACCCAGCCCTTCAGTGGCAGGGCTCGGACCTGTTCATTTCTCCCACTTGGAACTCTCACTTTTCAAATGCTGATAAATAAAAAAAAAATTCCCAAGTTGATGGGGGGAGGGGTAACAATGGAATGAGCATTTGGGGGCTAGGAGCTCTCCCGGACATTTCCAGGGAGTATCCTGGCTAGACAGGCCCTGAGAAAATCGTGCAACCACCGTCGTTACATTTGGGGAAATTGAGGCCCAGAAAGAGGTATTGGCTTGCTCAGGGTCCCCAGAGAGTACGAAGCAGAGAAGGGCTCACAAGGCCCGTCTCCTCCAGTCATCAGCAGGAGTTGGGTGGGCTCTGCTCCCCAGCCCACTGCTTCATGTTTAAGAAAGTCAATTAGAGCACGAACAATAGTTTCCTGAGGAAGTTTCGGTTTTTAATGTGCCAATGTGTCAAGGACCATTTCCGGAACCGTGTGTGCCCATGTGATAGCTGCGGACTTGGGCCTGGCAAAGCTATTTCAGACTAAGCCACAGGGTCCTATTTATAGGCCTGTGTGATTAGGTTGATGTGGGAAGGAGAGGCTCACCTACTCTCTGCCCAGCCCAGCTATGGCCGAGGAAGAGGCCCTTGGAGGAGATTCTGACCCGCGGGTGAGTAGCAAGGGATCTGCGGTGGTCCCTGAAGCCTGCTCAGGGGAGGGGCTCCAGGGGGAGTCCAACTCTTCCAGGTCAGCTGCCAGCCAGGCCCTCTGCAGAGCACAAACCACCTCTGATCCTGTTCTCCCTACTGCCTGGGACCAGGCCAGCACTCTTGGCAGTCAGACCCCTTCCCCAGCCACGCCTCTCCAGTGTTTGCATTGCTCTATGTGGGTCACACCTCTGAGCCTTTGCCTTTGCTGTTCCCTCCTCCTGACTTGCCCGGTTCCCAGCTCCCCAGAGAAAAACCTCCCTTCGTTCTTTAGGCTCCGCTCAGATCTTCCTCCTCTATGGCTCTTTAGGCCCTGGGTGCTCCCTGCCTTGTGCCCCTGCTGAGTGATTACCCTGAGTTCATGTGTGCTCCCTACGGGGTCGGGAGGAAAGGCGGAAGGGGAAGGGCATCTGTAGTTGAGCACCTACTGTGGCCATCCACCGTATGTTTGATGCATGCAGTAGGTATGTTTTAAAGGTGTATAGGCATGAGAGGAAGACCTCAGACTTACATAGGCCTAGATTCAGACCCTGCTCTACACTTCGTAACTGTGCAACCTTGGGTGAACCCCTCTGAACCTTAGTTTCCCTGCCTGTAAAATGGGCATGATGCTAGCCATGGGTTTGGGGGAAGCATTATCAACAAGAAAAAGCTTATAAATACTTATCATGTTGAGTGGTCCATAATAAGCCTCTATGTGCAATAGTAGGTGTTATTTACAGGTGGGGAAACTGAGGCTCAGAGCAGAGAAATGCCATCTCTAGGGCCCCACACAAGTCAGTGGCCAATAGGAGAGACCAGGTCTTAGGGTCCTGGCCTCCACCTCCAGCCTATATTCTCCCCTCCCTCTCTTAGCCTCCCGGGCCTATTCTGTTCCCCAGATCAGGGGAGGCTTTGTTTGGGGATTGTTTTTCCTGAGAAGTTTCCTCTGTGGTGCCACAGGATGACTCAGAGCCCTGAGTCACCAGGAGGCAGAGGGCCAGGGAGGAGGAGGGAAACGAGAGAAAGGACAAGAAAGGGAGCCCCCAGTTCCAGCCCTGGCTTTCCCACTGCTTGATCCACTAGGTCTGATACGTCCCCAGTCCTGCCTGGCCTCTGTTTCCCCAAGTGTGAAAGGAGATGCTGAGCTTTGATGAGGGCTCCCAGTCCAGGCTGAGCCTCAGAATCCCAGGTGCCTGGGCCGAACCCTGACCTATAGATTCAGAGGCTGGGCGTGGGGCCTGGGAATCCAGGTTTTCTGGAGCTCCCTGGGTGATGGTGCTGCACACCTGGGCTGCAGAGGTGTTTGGGAATCTCACAGTGCAAGGCTCTTCCTGGCTGGGCCTCCGAGTGGTTGGTTGCTAAGCCTCTGCTTGACCATCCCTCCTAACTCACGGGGAGTCACTTTTCTCGCTGCATGCTTGGGCAGAATGGTGCATGGGAAGTGCATGGGCTTTAAAAAAAAGAAAAATACAACACAGCTTTTTGGAAGTCTAATGTACATAAGTTGTCAAAGTAAATTTATACGTAATTTACATACGCATAATTCACCTATTTTCATTAATTCAATGATTTTTAGTAAATTTACAGAATTATGCCACCATTACCACAATCCAGTTTGAGAATATTTCCATCACCCCAAATCCTCCCTAAATGATGCCTTTGCCTGCTTGCTGGCAGTCTCCACACCCACCCCTCCCTGGTCCACCACTAATCTACTTTCTGTCTCTTCAAGTGCCCAGACCTGTGTGCCCCTCCCAGCTTCACTCCTTCTGGCTGTGTGACCGCATGCACATTATTGCCCCTCTCTGAGCTTTGGATTTCTCCTCCGTAGCAGAGGGGAAAATCATATCCTTCTTGCAGCTTATTGTTTGAATTTCACTAATGTGGTGGAAGGTCTGATGCCTAGTGGGAGCCAGGGATGTGGGAGCCTGGCAGGGAGTTTAGGAGGTAGTACAGGTCCCTGGGTGTGTTTGTAACAATGTCAGCAAACATTGTATTGACTCTGTGCCGAGCACTGGGCTAAGCATTTTAAATGCATGATCTCCTTTAATGCCCACAACTCTTATGCGGTGAGTGTTAATATCATTTCTATTTCATAGCTAAAGATACTGAGGCACCAAGAGCGGAGGTAACTTCTCTCCGGTTGCATAGGTAACAGTTGGAAGGGCTGGGAATCTGTCCTCCTTCATCCTTACACTGCAGACTGGAAACACAGCACGGAGTGAGGGACCCTGTTTGTCTGGCACAGTTTGTGACACACGCTTTCAAGGGACAGGACCTGGTATTTCAAAAGATGGTATGTACGACAGAGTGCATCAAACACAGATGTACACGGGGCGTGATGTACGGTCTAAGGGATGTGGGCCCCAGTGCACGCACCACGCATCAGGGTACACATGCAGGACAAGGCATGAGGAACACGGGCCTGGTATGGGGCGTAGAGAACGTGGGGTATATGATGCTGGGACATGGGAGCCAGGATACGGGGCTTGAGATACAGCAACAGGACAGGCTCCCGGGCTGCAGAAGGACCCTTTCCATGTCAGCGTGCCAATTTTCTCCTCTCACAAAGGCCTGTCTGTTTTTTGTGGGTTTTTTTTTTTTTTTTTTTTTTGCCTCCTCCTCCCTGTCTCTTTCGATGCCAGAGTGGGAGTGTCCTGGACGAGTGGGGCCCAGGGTACCGCCTACTACCCTATGAGCTCAGACAGGGGTCAAGGCTTGGGGCCAAGACCATGGCTCAGAAAGAGCCTGCCAGGCCCCCAGATCCCTTCTCTGGGAGGGAGCTGTGAGCGCCACCATTGGCTGGGCCAGAGCCGGGTAATTTTCCTCTAAGCCTTCCTGTCTTCTGCTCCCCTCCCTGGCTGCCGCTGCTGGCTGCAAGCACGTCTGCATTCCTGGGGGCTTAGGGGAGAAAGCACACACAGCTGCTGGGGTTAAGAAGCAGATAGCCACCAGCTGCTGCGGGAGGAATGGAGGGGGGGTGCGGGGTGCCTGGAGGAGGCAGTGGCTCCAGGCTAGCGTTTCCTGAGCCCTCTGGCACCTGGTGCACACGGCCTTATCTTGTCTGGTCTGCACATGAGCCCCAGTAGCCTGATGAGGAGACTGAGGCTCAGAAAGGCAGGAGCTTGCCCAAGGTCACACAGGGGCAGAGGCAGAGCTGAGGCTAGACCCCCAGCTCTTCTGGAGGCAGAAGAGTGACGTAATGAGGCAAGGTTAGGTGGCACAGAGAGTGTTGTTGGGGCTATCAGTGGGTAACGAGGCTGAAAGAGCAAGGAGGGCCTTGAATGCCAGGTTGGGGGTCCTGACTTTCAGTCTGCACTGGGGGCTATGGAAGGGTCTTGACAAGTGATGATACAATCTCTATGGATCATGGGAGAGTCGAAGGCAGTGGGAAAGCTGGTGCAGTGGTTGCAGAGGAAAGATGGAGACCCTGAATCAGGACAGTCCTGGGATGTGTGTGTGGCGGGGAGAAGGTGGGAGATGGGAAGTGAGTGTGAAGCGGGAAGGGAGTGTGGGGGGTTGAGACTTCCACTCTGGCCTCAGCCCTTCTGTAAAATGTCCCGGTGGAATGACTCTGGTTAGGCTCAGTGTCACAGAGCGTTCCGGAAGCCCCCAGAGGGCCGGACACCTGCAGGAGGATGCTGGTCACCGGGCAGGTGCCTGGGCAGAGGTGAAGCTGGGAACACCCCCAGGGAGAGAAGACGGCCCCCGTTTCAGAGCGCGACCTTGGGCCAAGCACTGAGTTTTGTGGTGTGCTGGATCTTGTTTCATTCTTCCATCTGGTTGTGATTATTTTCTGAGCCGGGAAAGGAACAAAAGCATTCCACTATTCTACCTCTGTTTATGTTTAAGAGGGAAAAGAACTTTAGAAAAAAACTATTAAAATTAAAAGGATTAGTAACAATAAAAAATATCTTTGAATCTCTGGTAGTTCTATTGTGGGTAAAAGTTTGAGATACATTGCAAAGAATCTCTAATTATGCCATAGGCTTTGGAGTTTTTCCATAACTGACTTTTACTAGTATCAAGTTTTGGTAAGCCTATGAGATCACCTGGCCACTTTATACCCAAGGACACAGGCTCAGAGAGGTTGAGTCACTTTCTCAGGGTCACCAGGTACTGAGTGATAGGACTGGGATCAGATGGTGACTCCGGAGCCCTCGTTCTTTGTGGTGGGGGCAGACCAGAGAAGAGAGCAGGGTGTCATGAGAAGAAACTTGTGAGGGGCTGGAAGGCAGGGCAAGCTCTTTAGGTGCTGGCTGGAGGCCCTCTCCTGAGATGCCTCCCCATCTCTGGCACCAGCAACCATTCTGGGTCTCTGGGCCTTGGCTGGGCCCCCCAGCCCTCTCCTGTTCTGCATGCAAGGACACAGAGATAGAGGTCAAGGGTAGATATGGGGATCAGTGAGCTGTATGTGTATAGGGTCTAGATATATGCTGGGAGTTTGTCTTTGGATATTATGGCTATTGAGTACCTGCTGCATGCCAAGCACAGTGCCAGGGGCTCCTTCAATCCTCCAAGACACCCTACAGGGTAGGAATCGTCACCCCATTTTCTAGAGGAGGAAATTAAAGCATTGCAGAAAGGCCCCTTGCCCGAGTCCCCTTGCAGTAGGGATTTAAGTTGTGTTCAAACTCACACTGGACATTGCCTTGTGTTCCCTTTGATAGAAGGTTGTGCATCCTTCACCCTGTTGGTCATTCTTGGTATCCTGAGCTCGTGGGGGCTTGGCCCCTGCTCCTGGACCCTGTCATCTCTCCTCTGTCCCACACCTGCCCCCTTTGTGTTTCTCCAGAGTTCTGCCTGCAGCATGCAGACTGATACCCAGGTGGATGGGCTCGAGCTTCTTGCCAGAGCCCAGCACGGGGGTGTTGGCCATAGTTGGCTGTGCAAGGCTCAGGGACCAAGAAGGGCTTCATTTAGAGTCCCCAGCAGGAGGGACATGTCACTGTCTTCTGATGTCCTGTTGTCATTGTTCCCACCATGATGACTGTTGGCCTAGGGAGCTTCTAACATGCCTGGTAAATCCTGAAGGATGAACTTGATCCCCAGACAGGCAGGAGGGACTTTGGCCAAATGCACAAACCTTATTTGCCTTTCCTGTTTCTTTCAGAAATCCTAGAGCCCCAGGGCCCAAAGGGTCATTAGAGATGAGCTGGTTCACTCGTCTCCTGAGTCCTCTTGGCTGATCACCACTGAGCAGCTCATTACCTCTCCAGAAGAGGGGGAAAGAAAGTGGCATTTTTGAACATTTATTTTATGCCAGCCATAGTCCTAGGATCTTCACATTTATGGTCTCATTCAGTCCCCTCCACTTGCCTTTGAGAAAGGTAGTTTTACCCCAGTTTTATGCATAAGGAACTTCAGTCTCAGAGATACTTACTGAACCCCCAGCAAACAATAACCAAAGCTTGCTTTATAGTTGCGTACTCTATGCCGAACACTTTGCTAAGCCCCACATGTGTTTTACCTTACTAAATTCTCACAGCAACCCTAGGAAGAAGGTATTACAATCCCCATTTTACAGATGAGGAGATTGAGGCCCAGAGAGCAGAAGCGACTCGCTGAAAGCCACACAGCTCGGGAGTGCTAGGTCAGGGCTTTACACCCAGATTTTCCTGGCAGGAGCTCTTGCCACAATCATGCCCGTTGTTTTTTTCCTTCTTGGAAAGCCTTTCCTCTGTGGAGCAGAGAGCTGCCTCCCATGGCTTCTGCTCATTCTGGCTCTGGTTCGGGCATCAGAGCCCCTGCCTCCCCAGATGTTTGCATCTGGAGACTGTGTCCCCATCTTCTACTGGTCCCACGGCTACATTGCCTATAGTTGGGCCTCTTTGTCCTGCTGCTGACTTGTGTTTGTGCCCTGTGTCCCCTGTTGCTGGGTTGCGGGGTGCTGGAGGGGCTAGGACACGGCTTTTGTCACTGTTTACAGCCCCAGCTGCTGGCCTGCCAAGCCTCCGAGGGCCAGCTCCCCCCCCCCCCCCCGCCCACCGAGAAGGGGAGACAGACTACAAAGTGGACCCTGGCAGGAAGGGTGCTGGGCTCCTAGCCATGGCCAAATCTGGCTGCTTCCAGGGCATGGGGTCAGGAAGTGGTGGGGTCAGGAAGTGGTGGGGCCAGGCCCCCTCTCAATGTCCTGTCCTGGCTCTCAGCACTAAGTGGGGTTGCCTCCGGAAACTGGGAAAGGGCCAGTGGCTTCAGTCCCTGGGATAGTTGGCCTCTTGGATGTGGCGTCAGCCAAGCTCTACTGGCCATCTCCCCAACAGCTGTCCACACCCAGGGTAGACAGGGCCAAGGCGGAGGTCCAGCTGGCTTTTCCAGGGGACCCTGTCCTATCACGGGCTCAGGCCTCAGCTCTGATCTGGGAGCCCAAGACCTGGGTTCTAAGGGTACCCTGCCAGGTACTTGCTGTGTGACTCCGAGAAATGACGCTCTTATTCTTGGTATCATCGTCTACAAAGAGGATGGACTAATGAACATTGCGGCTAACAAATCCTCCTCTGGGTAACTCCCGCCAACAGTCCAGAGCTCCCAACTCTCCTTTGACTGGACCTCACTATCCCTGTTCACAGATGGCTGACCTGAGGCTCAGAGGGAGGGTAACTTGCTCTAGGTCAAACAGCTCCCACCTCAACTCAAGGATCTCACTGTGGAATCCGTAACCTTCTCTGTTCCTCTCGTGGGGTGTGTACGTGCTGAGCAAAGGCCTCTGTGCAAAGAAACGAGACAGTTTCAGGAAGAAGGGTGCTGACTTTTGTAGAGCTCCTCCTGTGTGTTGGGCCTTTGGCCCTCCTCCCTTCTCTGTGAGATAGGTATCATTCTCCCATTCGAGAGATAAGGAAACTGAGGCCCTGATCCCAGGAGTGGAGTTTCCCAGGTTCTGAAACACGTGTGTTTTCAAGTCCACAGGCTCCCCACACTGCACCGAGGCCCTGTCCAGTTTCGCTGGGTTTCGTAACTGGCTTCTCTGTTTACTGATTATATTAGCACGGTCCAGGGCAGGAGGGGCGGGTGTTCCCAGGAGGACCCAGAGGACAGCAGTGAGCCAGAAAGCAAACAAGCTCCGAGAGACAGGGCTTCCCGTGAGTGGCCGGCTGCCTGAGAAATGAGCAACAGTGTTTGGGGTGAAGAGAAAAGAACAGCGTGGTGTCTTCCAGGCCCAGCCAAGGGCCTTTTGTACATAGTGGCTGGGGGCGGAAGGTGCGGCCGCCTCCTCCAGTCTCTGGTAGCTGCCCTGGGACACCCAGAGAGACATGAAGACAAGCCTAAGGTCACAGAGTGAGAGGGAGCAGGGCCAGAGCTGGATGAGGGGGTCTAACTGCAGGGGAGGGACATGGGCCCCTTCCTGTGGCAGACACTGAAAAGCTGCCTAGCAGATGCTGGGCAGTGGGCAGGAGCCAGGAGCAGCCAAGATCGAGGGTCAAGGGGATGTCTGAGTTCCAGAGGAGGACAGGGACTAGGGCATGTGCTCACAGGGCAGGTGGTGGCAGAGCCAGCCTGGCTCCCCAACTCAAAGAAACCAGGCCCATGAGTGGCCCAGAGTACAGGGGCCTCGGTCTCTCTTCTGCTCTGTGGCCACAGCCTGGGGGTCTTCCTAGGACATGCCTTTGCCCTGGGTACTCACACAGGTATGTGGAGGCCCAGAGGACCTTCCTGTGATCTCCTGCCCCAGCCTGGGGAGGTGGGGGGGGGGGGGGGGGCGGGGCAGGGGTTGGCTGTCTCAGAGACTCCTGGCTGCCAGGCTTGGCCTGGGCTTGACTGGTTTAGGGACTGCAGCCCTTTATCTGGAAACATCACTGTTGCTCCCTGCCCAGGCCGGATGGTGGCAGGAGGTCCTGCTTGATCCCCCCAGACAGAGCTTGGGGACTAGAGGCTTGTGTTTGAATCTCAGCAATGCCTCTTTCCAGCTGAGTGGCCCTGAGCCAGTGACTGAAGCTCCCTGAGTCTGTGTCCCCATCTGTAACATGGGGACTTGAATGCCTGTTTCCCCTGGTCGCTGTGAGGAGACTCGGTATTGGACCCCCCCGCCGCCATGCCACTTTCCTATCTCTCTTCTCCCAGAGATGTCTGGACCCACAGGTGAGGTGGCATGCTGCCATTGGTGATGGTAGTTTCTCCTTCTGCAGGTTGGGCCCTGGACTGTCTGAATCAGAGGGCCCTGTAGAGGTGACCCACTCCAGTGCCCTTGTTTTTCAGATGGGAACCCTGAAGCTCACAGATACATAGGTTCTGGATATGGTTGCACAGCCAGTTTCTGGGAATGCATCTTAAGAGTCAGAGCATGCTGGGCGCCTGGGTGGCTCAGTCGGTTAAGCGACTGCCTTCGGCTCAGGTCATGATCCCAGGGTCCTGGGATCGAGTCCCGTGTCAGGCTCCCCCTGCTCTGCAGGGAGTCTGCTTCTCCCTCTGCCTCTGCCTGCCACTCACCCTGCTTGTGCTCTCTCTCTCTGTCAAATAAATAAAATCTTTAAAAAAAAAAAAGAGAGCATGCTGCCCCAGTACATGGGGCATATGGAGACTTGAGGCTCAGACGAGGACAGGGACTTGTCCAAAGTCACCCAAGAAGTCAGTGGCAGAGGCAGGCCTAGCACTTGAGCCTCTTCCTTTTTACCTAGGTGTCTTTCTTTTGCACCCAAATCCCCCTGCTGTCTTGAACTCACACATCCTCCCCCAGGCAGGGAGCAGCGTAAGGCCACGTTGCCCCATCGGAGCCCACACATCACTGCCCTGTAGCAAGAATTTCCAGGCTGTGGGCTCCCCCGGGCGGGAGTGGGGGGGGGGGCGGTGGGAAGGGGCTGGGGTCTCTTCATCAGGTCCCAGGCTCCAGAGCTATGTGACAGGCAAAGCTGCAGGGCCTTTGTAGTCAGTAACCTGGGGGCCGGGGACCCTGGGCTGGTGGTCAGTGACCCCCGGGGCCAAGGCCAAAGCCGCAGCAGTCTTCTGTGAATCACCAACCGGCCAGGGCAGGGCCACACTGCTCCAGAAGGGACTGCTCAGCTAGGCTAGCTGCCAACTCACTTTCACTCTGGGGGCTGGGATGGTGAGGAAATTTCTTCTTCCTTCTTTGTTTGTATTTTCTGAACTGTCTAATGAGCAGGCATCACTTGAAGTATATTTTTAATGGTATTATTTCTTTTTAAAAGGAAAAAAAACCCAATGACAATGGATGGATGCATGCTTGTAAATAGTTTCAAACCCTACAGCTCATTTTATTTCCAGGCAAGTATTTAGGTGTAAGTTATCTACCATAACAATTCGCCCACTGTAAGTGTTCAGTACTCTGATTTTTGGTAGATTTTTCCAGAGTGTAATCATCACCATTTTCCACTGTTAGAATGTTTTCATTACCCTTGGGTGTCCTCTCAGGCTGATGACAGGGATCTGGGCGCTCACTCCAGCCTTGGGCAGCCACAACTCTCCCCCTTCGTCCCTTTCAAGCAAACTGCCTGGACAGTTTGGTGTTTACCCTCCTTGACTTTTTAAGGATGTGTGCAAAAACGGAACCCTTATTAAAAAGAGGAGAGGAGGGGCGCCTGGGTGGCTCAGTTGGTTAAGCGACTGCCTTCGGCTCAGGTCATGATCCTGGAGTCCCTGGATCGAGTCCCGCATCGGGCTCCCTGCTCAGCAAGGAACCTGCTTCTCCCTCTGACCCTCCCCACTCTCATGTGCTCTTTCTCTCTCTCTCATTCTCTCTGTCTCAAATAAATAAATAAAATCTTAAAAAAAAAAAAAAAAAAAAGAGGAGAGGAGATGGGGCGCCTGGGTGGCTCAGTTGGTTAAGCGACTGCCTTCGGCTCAGGTCATGATTCTGGAGTCCCGGGATCGAGTCCTGCATCGGGCTCCCTGCTCGGCAGGGAGTCTGCTTCTCCCTCTGACCCTCCTCCCTCTCATGCTCTCTGTCTCTCATTCTCTCTGTCTCAAATAAATAAATAAAATCTTTAAAAAAAAAAAAAAAGAGGAGAGGAGCCATACTATAGTCCTTGTACAATTTGCCTTTTGCACTTAAAGGTTTCTCTTTACTTCCTGCATCCCTACTATATGCCAGGCACAATCAGATCTAGCTCATTCTTTCTTCACAGCTGCAAAGTAGTCCATTTTATGGTGGCTCTGTAATTTATTGAATCGGGACATTTGGGTCCTTTCCAGTTTTCTTCAAACGATGCTTCAGTGAATCCTTGTACATATATTTTGGTGTTTCTCTGTAAGTAATACTGAAGGAAGCGGAACTTTTGTTGCATTGTGTCTTTCTTGAATTTGGGGAGCTAAGTTGCTATCCAGAGAGGTGAAACCGATTTATGCTTACAGCAAGAGCATATGGGAACTCTGGGGTTTTTATAATCCTCCAAATCCCCAGCAAGAGGGAAGAGCTCTGAATGCAGACTCTGCAGGCCCAGGCCTCAGGCACCTCCCTAGGACTCCCCACAGACCCCGGGATAAAGTTCAGACTCCAGCGGGGCACACGGGCCCCTGTGACTCCTGCCACCATCTCATCTCTTCTTACTCCCTGTGTTTTAGGTTGGACCCCTCCTTATCCACTGGATGTGGCCTGTGTTTGCTTGCCCTTTGCCCATGCTGTCCCCTCTCTTAGAATGTCTTTTTTTCTCAATCTCCCTCTTCCTTGTCCTTTGAGGCCTAGGTCACAAGTCCTTTCTATCACAAAGCCTTCTTGCAATCCCTACAGTCTGAATTGCCTTCTCTTTGTGTTCCCTTAGCTCTTTATCTGACCCACAGACTGCCTTAAGTAGGAGGAAGTTGTGGGTGGTGCAAGGCAAACTTCAGCCTGATTTGATAGAAGCTGGGCTCCAGGAGGAGCTGGGATAGGTGACCATAGCTTGGGGGGAATGGGGACAGTAACCCATTTACCTAGTTGTAGGCCAGGCCATTTTCATACATACAGACTGATTTAATCCTCAGCAACTACTATACCCATTTAGTAGATGAGGAGACTGAGGCATAAAGTACTTTACACACAGTGGAGGCGGGGGTCAAACCAGATCTCCAGCTCCCCAGTTCACTTCCTCTCATTGCACTAGGCTGTTGGGAGAGAGGATGGGAAGAGAACTTGAAACAGAGAAGTGGGTCCAACAGAGTGGTGGGAGGGATGAGGGAGGAGTTGATGGAGGTGGAAAGCAGGCCTCCTTGACTCGGAATATTATTTGTTCTAACACAATGCCTGGGTGCCTCTAGTGGGACAGTAGGGAGGGTGGGAAGGGAGCCTTAGAATGAGGAAGAGACTTAAATCCTTGTCTTCCCCAGGGGGAGCCGATAGATAAGATCTGGAAGTGGAAAAAAAAAAAAAACAAACAACCCCCCCCCCCCCGGAAAAAATAAAAAATATACCCACAGAACCACCACCACCAACTACAAGAACCAACAAGGGCTTGGTATTTAAGATATGAGGGCAAGCCCAGAAGCATCAACTAAAGGAGGTCGATAGAATAGGTTGCTCCTGGGGAAAACTGAGTGGGGTTGAGAGGGAACAATTGGTACAAATAGGTGACTTTAAGTTGTGATAAAAATAAACTTTTAAAAAATAAAACCTGTTGGGGCTCCTGGATGGCTCAATCGGTTAAGCGTCTGACTTCAGCTCAAGTCTTGATCTTAGGATCCTGCCTGTGTTAGGCTCCGGGCTCAGCGGGGAGTCTGCTTGTCCCTCTGCCCCCCTACTCATGCACACTCCCTCCCTCTCTCTCTCTTTCTCAAATAAATAAATAAATAAATAAATAAATAAATAAATAAATAAGGTCTTAAAAAAATAAAAACAAACTTTTTAAAAAGAAGGAAGGAAGGGTGGTCTCAAGTAAAGTAGAACCTGCCATCTCAGCTGAGAGGTCTGCCTGTCCCTCCGGAGTCTTGCTTGCTCACTGGAGCAATGAAGGCAAGCCCCCTGCATGCCTGCCCCTAGCTGGGGGCAGCTGCATGCTGCCTAGGTGGGCCTTCCACCCAAACTACCTGAGTTCAGATCTTGGCGGCACCATTTCCTAGTTGTGTGCAAGTTGCTTGACCATTCTGCACTCAGTCTTTCCCTTTGTAAAATGGGGCTGTCCATAGTACCTACTCTGTAAAGGATGTTAGGAGACGCCAGCCTTTATATGATGTGTGGAAAGCCTTCAAAAACTGTTTTTTATGTTTTTGCTGGAGATGTTAGGTGCAGAGAGGGGAGGGGGCTCGCCGGGGCACACCAGGAGGCTGAGCTGGGCTTTCTGCCTTTCATACCTGCACGCACCCCTTTAGTGTGCACTGCGTGGGCGCCTGCTGTATTTCAGGCCCTTTGCTGGGTCTCGCCCCCAGAGCAGGGGTGAAGGGACAGCCACGCCCAGTCGGGTCTGTCCGGGTTGGATCCCCGACGTCTCCATCCAGGCCTGATCCCCGCCCCTCCCGGGCCCGCGCCCTCCCTAAGGGGCGGTCCCCGGCTTGAGTGGGAGGGGCCGGCGGCTATATAGGCTCGGTGACCCGGAGATCGAGGCTGCCGACTGGGGTCTTCTGCCGCCGGCGCTGCCATGGCTCCGCACCACTCTGCGCCCGCGCTGCTCTGCGCGCTGGTCCTGGCGCAGTGCGCGCTGTCGCCGCCGGCTCTCGCGGCCACCGCTTCGCGGGGGGCGGCCCAGGGGCGGGTGCCCCAGGAGCGGGTGAGTGCCCGGGGGGCCCGGGGGCTCCCGGAGTAACTCTCTATTGTAAGTTCTTGCAGATACAGCGCTAGGAAAAGGGGAGTAATTCAGGTCTAGAATGGAAAAACTGTTTTGTTGCTTTGTAAGTATCTCTTGCTGCTTGCGGGGCTCCCGTGGATTGAGGGTGGGAGCCTCAGGGCGCCTGGCTGTTACCCTCCCTAGAGGCTAACCTCACCTTGGCCGGATTTCTTGTTCCCTAGCCTCAGCCTTTTGATTTCTTACCCATCTCCGCCCCCTGATTTCTCCTTTTCCCTCTGCCTGATTTCTCTCCCCTCTTCTGATTTTTTTTTTTTTTTTTTTTTGTCTTGAACAACATTTAAACCCTGATGTTTCAGGAGACACTTTAGGATCTTGAAGGGCCTGAGGCATGGAGAGGTGGAAGTGATTCTGCCAAGGACCCCTTGGTTGAGGGTTGAGGCTTTGACAGTGACTGCTGATCCTGAGGATGCCGCGTGAGGGAGGTGGCGTGCATCGTGGAATGAGAAGCCAGGGCCCTGCTCTGTTACTGGATGGCAGAGTGACCATGGATAAGTCACTTCCCTTCCCCAACAGTGTGGGACACGAGAATCTCTCTCTAAGATTCCTCCCAGCTCTGATATTCTGTGAATAACTAGCAGAGAATGTACTGAGTTGTCTTCCCAAGGAAATGGACAAAACTACATGCAGTAGCCAGTAGCCGAGACAAAGGCCTCAAATAGTTCTTCGATATTTCCAAAGCCTCAGGGCTTAGACTCCCAGCTCGGCGTTGGCCCAGCCCTGGGGTCAGTCATGTGCGGGCTGAGGTAGGCAGCAGATTAGGAATAGCAGAGTCAGGGACCACTGCACAGTTTGCGATGATAAATTTGTCAGGCCCACGGGCAGGGATCCTCCCCAATAGAAGCGTGCTGGGTGGTCACTTACCTTGCCTCCTCAGGTGACCCAGAGCCCTCCCGCCCCCAGTCAGCTGAGAGTTTTAGTTATAGGGATGTGTCCTGTCCTTGGACCCATCTTCTGATTTTTTTTCTTTCATTTCAGATGCTTCTTTCTCATCTGATTTCTCTTTTCCCTCTCCAGTATTTCCCCCCTCTTTCTTGTATGATCTCACCTCTGTCTGCTTATCCTCATTACTATTATTTTTTCTTCCTTCCCTGATATGTCTGCCATGTCTGGTTTCTCCTTCTCTCTCCTGTTTTCCTTTTGTGTTTCTCCACCCCTCTGCCTGAGTGCTCCCCATCTGGTTTCCCTTAGATCCGTCCTCCGGCCTGAGGTGACCTGTGCCTGCTGATTTCTGCCGTCCAGCTCCAGGCTAACCATCCTGCTCTGCTCCATCTCTAGACCCTGTGCATGTCTGACGGGCTTTCCCCCATCCTTGACCACCTCATCTCCAACAGGCTCCTACAGACCCTGGCTGCGTCCTCTCCACCTTTCCCAAGAAATGGAATTGGGGGTGGGATGTTGGTGGGGGGGCAGGAGGGAGGAGGCAGACAGCTCAGGAGGCCACTTGGGCTCAGCCATCTAGATCCTTCTTGGGAGTGTGATGGGGATATGGATGGGACATGGGAAATCTTCCAAAGAGCAAAAGCAAACAGGCTGTGTGACCTTGGGCCAGTCTCCTCTGTTTGGGCCTCAATTTCCCTATCTGCAGAATGGGGTTGGATAATGAGCTCTCTGAGGACCCTTCTAGTTCTAAGAGTCGCTGAGGATGCTGGAAGGGAGCACACTGAACCCCTAGAGACCCCAGATTTACCTTTGCCATGTGAGGGGTTCTCCCTATGGTTCCAGAACTTCTGCTCTTGGAGCTTGCGGGCAATGCCTGCTATGCCACTTCCTAGCCGGGGGTCCTTGGCAGAATCACTTTCACCTCTCCATGCCTCAGCTGCCCCATCCAATTGGCACTAAGAAGGGGAGGGAGAAAGAAGGTAGAGCCTTCTGTCCCTCCATCATCAGTGAGCTGAGTAGGCAAGACAGACTCTGGTCAAGGACAGGGTTTGGAGCCTAAACTCTGCCCTGTTTGCTCACTCCCAGAGACAGGGGTAGGCTCGCCTCCGGGATGGGGAGAGTCAGAGGCTCAAGTGAGATGCTCTTGGGGCTGGAAACCACCCTCCCTCGTGTCCTGGGGTCTCTCCTCGCCAAGGCTCCTGCCTCTGCTCAGGCTCCTCCTGTCTCTTCCAGCCCAGCAGCATGGTGGTGGAGCACCCCGAGTTCCTCAAGGCGGGGAAGGAGCCCGGCCTGCAGATCTGGCGCGTGGAGAAGTTTGACCTGGTGCCTGTGCCCCCTGGCCTCTATGGAGACTTCTTCACGGGCGACGCCTACATCATCCTGAAGACGGTGCAGTTGAGGAATGGGAACCTGCAGTATGACCTCCACTACTGGCTCGGTGAGGCCCCCTCCCCGTAAAGCGTGGCCCCTGGAGGCATGGTCCCCAGGAAGCGCCACGGGAACTAAGAGACTGTTGAGCATCAGATATGTGCCAGCCCCTTGGCTAATGGTGTCCCGGGACTCTAGAGCCAGCCTGTCCCAGTTCAGACCCCGGCTCTGCCCTTTGGCAGGCCACCCAGTGCCTCTGTAAAGGGGATGTGGTGATGACACCACACGACCTCACGGGAGGGTTTGAGGGTTAGAGAGGTTACCATGGTGCTCAGAGCTGGGCTGACGTGGGGCCCCTGGAGCCCCTCCACACTTCCCTGGCTCACTTCCAGCCACACCCCAGTTTGCCCTTCGGAGTCAGGAGCCTGGAGTCCCCGCTCTGCTGGGTGACTCCATAAATCCTGCCTGCTCTTTGCACCTCACTTTCCTAATCTGTGAGTTGAGCCACTGCCTCAGGCCCTACTTCATGTCTAGAGGTCTGAGAGTGAGTATGCAGGGAATGAGAGAGGTGAGCGTGGGGGACGTGTTAGAGCTGAGAGGACTCTTAGAGACATGGAGTCCAGCCCCCACTGCCCCATTATACAGATGGATCAACTGAGGCCCACAGAAGGCAGGGGCTTGCCCAGCTTCTACAGCCAGGCCAGGGTAGCCCTGGGGGCTCCGGACTCCTCTTCCATGGGAGGCTGGGACTGCTTTTGGGAAGCCAGGCTCACGCTGTTCTGATGCCCCCTAGGCAATGAGTGCAGCCAGGATGAGAGCGGGGCGGCTGCCATCTTCACAGTGCAGCTGGATGACTACCTGAATGGCCGGGCCGTGCAGCACCGTGAGGTCCAGGGCTTCGAGTCGGCCACCTTCCTGGGCTACTTCAAGTCTGGCCTCAAGTACAGGGTAGGTCCCAGGCATCAGGGACAGAGGCACCAATGGCAGAGCCTCACTCCGGTCCACCCATCTCTCAGCCTTGTGGGGTGATGTGGCAGACGGGTCAGAGCTCGGCTTTTGGAGCTGGCTAGGCCTGGGTTTGAATTCTGGGCCTTACTAGCTATGTGACCTTGGACAAATCACACTGCCTCTCTGAGCTTCTGATTTCTTTTTTTTAGAGATTTTATTTATTTATTTGACAGAGAGAGAGACAGCGAGAGCAGGAACATAAGCAGGGGGAGTGGGAGAGGGAGAAGCAGGCTTCCCGCGGAGCAGGGAGCCCGATGCAGGGCTCGATCCCAGGACCCTGGGATCATGACCTGAGCCGAAGGCAGCTGCTTAACCAACTGAGCCACCCAGGCGCCCCTGAGCTTCTGATTTCTTATCTTAAAATGGAGAGAAGAAAATTCATCACTTCACAGGGTTGTCTTCCTAGCCCCAGCAGCGAGGGGTGGGAACCCAGCCTATCACTTCCCCAACAGTCCTGTTCCTACACCCATTAGTGCTTAGGCCCTGCCAACAGAAGGCCCCATGTTAGGTATTTGAAAGGGTACCCTTGACCACATTCCTCATTATTTTCATCAGAATCCCCCTTGAACGTGAACTCTGAGGAGTCTGAGCCAACACAGAGCTCTTCCCCTGCAACCCTCAGCCAGGTGGGGCTAAGCAAAGCCAAGCTAGGAGCTCTGAGAGGCTCTGCCCTAATATGCGTGACAAGCCAGCCACTTGGTGTCTCTGAGAGCCTCCCTTTCCTCCTTAGTTACGTGAGAGCCTGTTGTACCCTCCCTTCACTCCTGGAGAGAGGATTTGA